ACTAATTTGAAATTGAATTTTACTGGAGCAACCTGGGCATTATTGACAAAATGCTTTGGGAAAAGATTTGGATTTATAGAGAGATACGGACATTCCTTGAAGCAGAAAAGAAAAAGTACAATACACATACAGCAATTTCTGCTTCTGCAACATGTCAAAATCTATCTAATATTCCTTTCCAGCCGTATACACCAGAGGAAAGTTTTCAAAACTTCACTCGACGCTTTGAAAACTACACAAAATTACGGGGAAACTTAAGTCCAAGAGTCAAAGTGGATTTATTTTTACAGGCAATCACCCCACAAATACATGAACAGCTATACGATCTTTGCATACCAGATGACCCACACAACAAGCCATATGCGTACCCAGTATTTGGGCACGTCAGCACAAATTTACGACACGTACCCAATTGTGTAATGAATCTGTACAAGCTTACGCTAATGCTCTTAGAAAGCTCAGTGTAGAATGTCAGTTTACTTGTACAAGTTGTAATGAATCTGTATCTGAAATTCTACTTCGAATGCAGTTTGTCAGGGGATTAAAAGACTCTGATATACGTCTTCAACTTCTTCAAGATAAACTATTGCAACCGTTTAAAGAAGTAGTCGAAAAGGCTGCTACATTGGAACTAGCGAAAAGTGAAAGCAGAATAGTAAAGACAAATGAAAATCAAGAGGAAGTACACCAAGTATCAAGCAAGAACAAACAGCCAGATAGGAAACCTTGTAAATCTAACAATATACAACTCTCTGAGTATCAAACTCGTTTGGAGAAACTGAGAAACAAATGCTATAGATGTGGTGATGATTCACATAGAGCACATCAATGCAAGTTCAAAAATGCAGAATGTAACTCTTGTAAACGTTTTGGTCACTTAGCAAGAGTATGTCTAAGAAAACCAAACAAAGAAGTAAAACAATCAGATGAAACCGCAGAAAATACAAGCGATGATGACACTCATGAAATTTACCAACTTCATTCAAAATCAAATGACAAGTTTATGCTCGAGGTAAAAGTGGAAGGACGACTCATGACAATGGAGTTAGATACAGGAGCGGCTCTCAGCATTGTATCATATGATACATTTAAGCTTTTAAACTCTCCAAAAAGGATTTTCAAGACAAATGTTCAACTCAAGACATACACTGGGGAAATAATCAATCCAAGAGGAGTTGTTTTTGTAAATGTTCAGTATAAAGATCAAAGTTTTGTTGGAAAACTGTACATTGTTAACAAGTGTGTAGACTCTATATTCGGAAGAGAATGGATAAGAGAGATTCAACTTGATGCAGCTGACATACATTCATTAAATTCAAGTGAAAACGAAAACATCCAAGAACTAGATGATTTGATGATTCGATACGAAGACATTTTCAAAGAAGGCATTGGGAAAATACCAAAAGAAAAGGGTCATTTTAATGTAAAAGACGAAACCCAGCCAATTTACATCAAACCTAGACACATGCCATATGCATTAAAAGAAAAAGTAGAGAAGGAACTTGAAAGACTGGAGACTTTGGGTATAATCACACGTGTCGAATCATCCGATTGGGGCACACCCATTGTGCCGGTTGTCAAACCCAATGGTTCAGTCAGAATATGTGCTGACTACAAGGTGACTTTGAACAAAGTTATTAAAGACGAACATTACCCTATACCTCGGATTGATGATATCATGTCAAAGATGCATTGTGGAAAGATATTTTGTACTCTTGATATCAGTAACGCATACTTGCACATGGAGATGGACGAAGACAGTGCCATCATGCAAACAATCAGTACTCACAAAGGGGTGTTTAAAGTGAACAGATTAATGTTTGGAGTAAAAGTGGCACCCTTGTTATGGCAAAGATTCATGGACAAAACATTACATAACTTAGAAGGCGTACAATGTTTCTTTGACGACGTAATTGTCCAAGGATCTAACAGGGAACAGCTTCTTCGCCGACTGGAACAGGTGTTTGAACGATTGAAGTTAAATGATTTGAGGTTAAATAGAGAGAAGTGTAAGTTTTTCCAGAACAAAATTGAGTACTTAGGTCATGTGATCGATAGCAAAGGACTACACAAGTCAGATGCTAAAATACAGAGCATTTTAAAATGTAAAAGACCAGAGAACGTAACTGAACTCCGAACTTTCCTAGGCCTTGCGAATTATTACAACAAATTCATAAAGAATTTGGCTACACTGCTACATCCTTTGAATCGGCTGCTACGAAAAGGAAACACTTTTACATGGAGCTCTGCTTGTGAACAGAGTTCTCTGAAGATTAAAGAAATTATTACAAGTGATGACGTGTTGGTACACTTTGATCCTAGCTTGCCACTACTTACACTGGTCTTAGCTACTGATGCTTCGCCGGTAGGTGTAGGAGCCGTTCTTTCGCACCGCTATAGGGATGGAACAGACAGGCCAATTGCCTTCGCCTCTCGATCTTTATCAAAATCAGAACAAAAATACTCTCAAATCGATAAGGAAGCCTTGGGAATATATTGGGGCCTGAAAAAGTTTTTCCCGTTTTGTTATGGCCGCAAATTTACTTTGATCACTGATCACAAACCGCTGGTGTCAATTTTTAATCCAGCAAAGACCTTACCAACAATCTCGGCAACACGGATATTCAACTATGCTCACTTTCTCTCCGGGTTCGACTACGACATAGAGTACAGGCAAACTGCTCATCATTGCAATGCAGATTATCTCTCTCGATTCCCTATCGAAGTTGTACAAGAACATTCTGTAGATGACCTCTCGAAGTACCACATAAATCAACTGGAAACACTCAATATCAACAGTACCGTGGTGGCTGAGGAAACTCTCAACGATGCTGTTTTGGGTCCAGTCCTACAGGCCTTGAAATCAGGACAATCTGTTGAACAATACGGATTTCACGATAACGAGCTGTCCATTCAAGATGATTGTGTACTGAAGGGCTGTAGAGTCATGATACCTCAATCTCTCAGACCTCATGTGCTTCGAGAACTACACGTAGCTCATTTAGGAGGAATAAAAATGAAGGCTTTAGCTCGCAGTTTTTGCTGGTGGAAAAGTATAGACAAGGATATTGAAGATATGGTAACTGAATGTCGACAATGCATTGAAAAATGCAACAACCCGAGGAAAACTATCCATCCATGGGAACAACCTTCTAATCCATGGGAGAGGGTGCACATTGATTTCTTAGGACCAACAGATGGCCAACAGTACCTGATATTAGTGGATGCCTTTAGTAAGTGGGTGGATGTGATACAGACGAAAACAACTACAAGTACATGGACAGTCCAAGAATTACGGAAAATCTTCTCAACTTTTGGGTTTCCTCACATCCTAGTTTCAGATAATGGAAGACAGTTTGTTTCTCAAGAGTTCAAAAACTTCATGAATGAATGTGGGATTATTCACAGGACTACGGCACCATACCATCCAAACTCAAATGGCCAGGCTGAAAGGTACGTGCAGACTGTCAAGAAGGCGTTAAAATCCATGGAGGGAGAAAAGGGTACACTGCAAAATAAAATCCAAAGACTTCTAATGCAACTCAGGCAATCCCCGAATTCAACAGGTACATCAGCATATCACCTAATGTTTGGAAGGAGTGTACGAACAAACCTAGCAATAATTGTTCCAACATTAGAACCGAACAAATATCAGAAGAAGGAAGTCCAAGTCGGTATAAAAAGGAATTTCAAAGTTGGAGATAAAGTGCAAGCGCGGGAATATGTCAATGGTTCGTCCAAGTGGTATTCGGGCTATATAACTCAAAAGCAAGGACATGTAATGTACGTAGTTCAGCTGGAAGATGGACGAATAATAAGAAGACATGTTGACCAGCTGATTCTTCGTAAAGTGCCGCAGCACAGTAAATAGAGGAGGAGGTGTTAGCATATGTTTTATTTACATTTTATTTCTAACATGTGTTCAAATTATTATTTTGTTTACTTATTGAATTGTTATGTTTACTTACAGATTGTGATTTAATAAAAACTTACCTTCTATTTTCTTATACAAAATGTGAACTTTTATTACTAAAATTAGTGGAATCAACAGAAATGTTAATGGTTTGAACAAAACTTTATATTTAATATAAAATATTTTTTTTTGTTTTAAAGCAAAAATAGTATAGAGATTGAGAATGTAAAGGTATCATAGGTTAAATGTTCATATTATTCCAAAAGTCTATAAAATGTTATTGTTATTGTACTGTAGTTGCATATGAATTAACAGTTCTACGTAGCCTATATTAGTTTGTGTGTTCTATTTTGCATGTTTTAGTCTCAAGAAACCATTTTCAGTAAAAAAAATAATTGTATTGTAATAATGTTATGTACCACACAAACAATAAATAGGATAGAGAAAAGCTGAAATGTTAACAAAAAGATTATAATTATTTTTATTTCTCTTTTTAAATATGGTTTTAATTTTAATACACGGAAATAAAGTAGATGTCACCCAAACATACCGAAAAGAGTTTTTAAGTCAACATCATCTTTACGAGTTAAACGTATATCTGTTAACTTTGTTATACAAATTAATCATTTATGCATTTTTATTTTATGCCATTAATTTTCTAACTTTTCTCAGATTTCTCCAATCAGACATAAAGAGATATCAATTATGTTTGAAACAGGTGTTTTCATGAGCATCTATTTTAACAATGAGTAAGAAAGATATATCCAGTTTAAAAAAGGGTTGAGATTCAGGTAATTAAATGATTAATCTAACATTAAAAGCCTTGATTATTGATAGAAATAGACATTCCATTCCTATGTTACAGTTGGATGTAATTGAATTGAGCTATCAACAGAGTAAATTACTGATTATTGTGCATCTTTTATCTCACATCAATTATCTTATCATCAAAAATTAAGGCAGAAGAGAGAATTGTAAACTGTGGCGCACTCACTGAGTGGCTCATTCAACTATGTTGTTTTTAAAGATAAGATCGTCCACTTCAGTATCCAAAAGTAAACGCTAAAAGCTACATAAATAAACTCACTTCGGACGAGGACTTTGATCTGCCTCAGTGTGCGGTCGGTGTCAACCTCGATGCACTTGTACGAGCCAGCGTCTTCTCTGCGCATGTGTTCTAGGAACAGAGAGTCGTTGTCCAGCACAGTGGCATCTATAGCTCGGCCCTCATGTACCCAGTACACTTGATAGTCCTCAACCTCCGTCTCAAAGGCCTCCACACATGGCAGCGTCAGGTTGCCCCCCTCGTCCACTCTCACCTCACCATCCTCCAGGTTGGCAACACTGAGCCCTGCAATAAAATATAGCTTCAATTGTCTGGGGTGAGTAAACATGCACTTACCACTACCTTTGGGTCCTTGCTGTTAAATTGAGTGACTGTGGTCCTTGCTGTTAAACTGAGTGACTGTAATCCTTGCTTTCAAACTGAGTGACTATAATCCTTGCTTTCAAACTGATTGACTTGTAACGAGTTATTTTTCCTAGGGGGGTAAATATTTGCTATTTGGCCGTGCGGTTGTAGAGGTAAGCAAGCAGCGGCAGCGAGGCTAGCGAGCGCCCTTTGACCCGGCTTATCAGTGCCGATAAGCCTGGGATATCCTAGATCTTCAGGACAGTATAGGACGGACATTCGAGTCGTGGATCCCGGACAGTGAGGATAGTGTGGTGTCTTGTGGACACGACTGGGTGGTGAACGTAGAGAGGAGTGTACGAGGTTGACAGTGGTGTCGGAGTACGTTGGTGGTGTGATTGCGCCGAGTGTTGGTATAAGTTGGGTACAGACCCACTATTGGTGAGTGGACGACGTTCCTTACTTTTTGGTTTAAGAGTTGATAGTTGATACTAAAACCATAGACTAAGCAACACAAGTAGACTCCTCATCCCATTGTAAATTTTGAAGCTTGTTTTTCATGTCTAGTTCATGTACGTCCACACTGATCGCTGGGGTAGACCACATTTTGTTTCTATTATTTTAGGGTTATTTTCATGATTTGTGCTTTACTATTTGGTTATATAACAAGGGGACCAGTTATTCTTTATGATTAAATCGTTTTATTTGATTAAATGAGGTTTTAAATGACTGAAATAACAAGAAACAAATTGTAAACAAAACATAACCTTTACAGTTGGACGTACAGAACAAACAATAAAATTGGCTTCAGCTGTTCCATAAGGATGACAAATCTACTAAGGGAGTATGATTTATCTATGCTAAAACATTCATCTCTGATTTGATTGTGAGAGTTAAGAGTTGTAACCGTGCTGGTCAAAGCCTGATGGTAGTTAGTATTTGCAGGTTTCAGGAATAATATTAAAGTATATTCCTGACGGTTCTGGGCAGGCGCTAGAGTGCAAATAATATAATTTATTGACTGTAGTAGATATTATTTTGCGTTGTACCAAGAGTTAGTTACATTACTAATGACTCTGAGGCCCGACAAACCTAGGCTGCACGATTTAGCGTGCGTAGTTGGAAGCACGTGGCCAGTAGGCTAGTAGCTAATATTATTAGCCTATTAATAAGTAGCCTAGTCCTATCTTTATTACGATGCATAAACTATTAATCACATCAACATAAATTATAGAGCAAAATAGAATTTATTCACGTAAAATATCAGTAATAGAAGCAAGGCCAAACTGCCGACATGATCATTGTCCTCATTCCAATCCAGAATCATTGACTAATGCCTCAACGTCTGTTAATGAACGTGCCATAGTGCATAATCCCATAGTACATAATCCCATTGTGTCTAAAAGTGAAAACGTGCCACAGTGCATAATTTAATGTATCAGCAACTAATAAATTATGTTACATAATCTAATCTAACCTAACCTAACCCAACCCAACCTTAATAGTAATGTTTAAATCGCATTTTATGTCAGAAAAGGCATGTAAGGAAGATAGGTCGGACTTTATGCGGATTCGTGACTGTATTAAGTCCTTTGAAGTGAGGTTAGATTAGGTAAGTTAAAGGTTAGGTTATAATGAACCGACTCATTAATTTATGCTACTTCCAGACTGTTTTTGCACACTTGAAATAGTGGGTGAAACACAATGAAATAAAAATATCAAAAATGCTTAGGCTACCCATTTTTGATATCGTTATTTCATTGTGTTTCACCCACTATTAAATTGTGCAAAAACAGTCTGGAAGTAGCATAAATTAATGAGTCGGTTCATAATAACCTAACCTTTACCTTCCTAATCTAACCTCACTTCAAAACACTTAATACAGTCACGAATCCGCATAAAACCCGACCTACCTTCCTCACATGCCTAAATAAGAACTGATTCTGATTATCTCTGGTTTCAAAACGAATTGATTTCATTCCGCATTAAGTATCGAGTACAAACAGCTGTTTGCTCTCCTCCTCACTCAATCCTCAGTCCACATACGGACCCGTCCAGACCACGCCATATTGCCATCAGTATAGCTCAATGAACCTTAGATTCGTAATGTTGACCCTCGTTTTACGATTAATTAGGAATCTCTCTGACAAAAACTGATTGCATTTTTGGATTCAGCGTGAAAAATACTGTAAGTAGACATCAAAAAAGTACATAATATCGCGTTGTAGACATACCAAATAATTGCCATTTGATTGTTTCATTCGATATATCGTTTGGTTAGTTAGGTTAGGTTAACCTTACCTAACGAACCAAACGATATATCGAACGAAACAGCCGATTAATCGATACATCAATCAATATTTTAGTTAGAATGAGTGCAGGACCTAAAGTAAAGTGCAGCCTACCCACATGACATATTTTGAGTAAAAAAAGTTTCCCGTTTTTCCATTTTTTCGGTAATTTCCGGTATTTTCCAAAAAATTAAAATGCCATTTTTGGATTCAGCGTGAAATTTAGGTCATTATGGAAAAAAATTTCACTATTGCGAGTGGTCACTACGTCGGAATAATTACCCCATCAGCAAGTTTGGTTGGTTAGGTTAGGTTATGATAGCTTTATTTTATATAGGCCTATATATAAAAATATTGATTAGGTATTAATCAGTATTTTCAATTCGATAGTTTCAATCAATATTAGCATAGCCCAGTTAAGAAACTGTACCCAAGGTGGCAACGCTGGTCTGGTGTCTAGACCAAGAAAACATCAATTTTAAACTAGGCCTAGGCTAGAACCTAGAAACCTATTTACACCTTCGCTTTTTTTAAACCATAAACTAAGTTATGTTAAAGCTCTTCCATATGTTTAAGAAGTGACAAACAAAAAAATAAACCATTAAAATCATGCCTATTTAGACTTACCTCCAATAAAAATAAAAATCAATATAACGTCAGCTACATAAGCGATATACATTCTTCCATGCCACTTCTTATTGTTGTTTGATAAAAATTAATGTTTGTTTGTAATACGTGGTACCGTAACACGAAGTGAAGACCTTTACAGCACACACTTATAACAACAAACTGTAATATCTATCCGTCTTCCATCTTTATAACTGTAAAACTTATTTCTTATTTACATCGTAGCCTACATCCTAAAACCAAACCACAACTTTATTGAATGACAGATGGAGATGGGTGGATTGGATGGGTTGTGGTTGATTGTTGTTGGTGTTAGTTTGGTGGTAATATTATTACTAACTAGACTGAACTGAAACGATTTCGATTAACGAAACTGAACTGAGAAGAGTGAGTCTGAAACTGAAACTGACTGAGCAGTGAGCAGAGCAGACTGACAAGTTTTTCAACAGACCATCTTTTGACGACCTTCTAGTCGAAGGAGGAGGTGCAGCTGTCGCGCATGCGCACAAGCTGTCGCTGCTATTTTCAAAGTAGCAGTTTCAGTTTTGAGAACTTATCACGTTACTTCCCGTTCCCGGTCACCACACACTCGACGTTCTATACCCACGAGCACCTCAGCTTCCACAAGCACAGAAGGACTTCGAACAGTTCCTGGGATAACAGGTATTTGTGTAATAGTTTCACCGTATATCTTTATTGGACCTGTTTCTGTTTAGATAGTTGTTTTTTTTTCAACAGTTACAGTTGCGAACTGTGCATTGTGATTTTAAAAAGGTGTTTATTCTTTAATCTTTACTGTTTGTTTACTTTTGACTTGAGCTGCTTGAAAAGGTGTTTTATGATTATGAAAATTAACGTTTTGTGAGTGTGCTGAAGCTGATTTGTTATTAGGTATTGACAATAAGCCTAAATGTTTTGCGTGCATGAATTATGAAGATTTAAATGTTTACTTAACCTATATTTTTCGGATTCCTCAAGAGAGAGTGATTGTTAGGTTAGGTTAGGTGTTTGTTTGTGTGTGAATTTGTTAGATTGCAGTTTTGGTAGTGGTAGGTCTAAGTTAGCCTCTAAGGTAAACTTAACTTAGGCATACTCTTATTAATAGATAAGTTATTAATTTAACTTTTTCAAAGGCAATAACTTAGACCTAAACTCCACTGAAAGGCCCAACTAACTTAATCAAAATAAACCTAGACCTACCACTACCAAACCTCCAATCTAACAAAACAAATTCACACACAAACGCAACTCAACCTAACATTAACAATCACTCTTTCTTGAGGAATCCGAAAAAGACAGGTTAAGTGAACATTTAAAACTTCATAAATAATTCATGCACGCAAAATATTTAATTGTTAATACCTAATAACAAATAATCAGCCTCAGCTCACTCACAACATTTTAATTTTCATAATCGAAAAACACCTTTTCAAGCAGCTCAAGTCAAAAATAAACAAACAGTAAAGAATAAACACCTTAAAATCACAATGCACAGTTCGCAACTGCAAACTGCGACTGTTGAAACGAAACAACTATCTAAACAGGTCCAATATTAAAGTATACAGTGAAGCTATTACACAAATAGCTGTTATCCTGTGCATGTGGAAGCTGAGGTGCTCGTGGGTACAGAACGTCGAGTGTCACCACACCACACCTTGTAATGTAACGGAGTATGTTTTATCTATGATGTAACGTTGTAACCGTTGACGGAGGGGTCTGACTTAGGGGAGGTACAAATGAGGCATTTAGTTCAAAATTCCTCCGTGAACAGCGCTGTAGTAGAGAGCACTTTGGCAATAACGGTTTTCTAATCGCAAAAATAGTTCTGTTCATAAAATAAAATTATAAATGCCTCAAATTCAATTTTACAATTTTTAATTATAAAATTAAACTATCATAACCTAACCGAACTAACCAAACTTGCTGATAAAGAAATAATATAACAAAAGTTTAGTAATCGGAAAAATAATTCTGTTTATTAAATAAAACTAGAAATTGCTCAATTAAAATTTTATAATGACTTAATAATAAAATTAAACTGTAATAACCAAACCAAACCAACCAAACTTGCTGATAATAAAAAAAATCTTGGACAAAAAGTTAATGCTACCAGCGGGATTCGAACCCGGGACCTACAGTATACCAGCCCGGCACGCTAACCATTGGACCACCGAGGCCGATGGCTATCGAACGTTTTGTTACGGTAATGGCGTTCCCTCAGCTAATAAGAAGCCCTCAGCTGTCATCGTAGCCTCTTCTATACCTCCCCTGAGTAAATACCGTTGACGGAGGGTCCACGCATACTCAGTTTGACAGGTATTAACGGACAGCATTAAGCTAAATACCCCCGCCGCAGCAAACCTACAGACTTAGCGAATTTCCATTTGTATCATTGGATTTACACTAAAATGTCTCCTTAAATATATCACATTTATTCCCTATTTAAATAGAATTAGTTTAACAAATCCTTAGGTTTGCTGCAACAGGGAGGGTAATAAAATTGTTTTTTAATGTAAAATGTTATTAGGTTTGCTGCAACAGGGAGGGTAAAAAGTTGTTTTTAATGTAAAATGTTAATAGGTACTGTAGTTTAGTAAGAAATTAATGTATTTTCCAAATTTGATCAAAATATGTTCATAAATAAGCAAACTACAACAGTTGACTTATTCTCCATAAGAATAACATGGGAATTTTAAAATTATTTTTTTTTGAATTTTCTCCGTAACCCTAAGGCGCATAATAACGCTTCAATATACTAAATTATTTGTTTCTTTAAGCTCTACAAAATGATTTGGAAAGTTATTGTAAAATTTTGTGTTTTTAGGGGAAAAAATGGGATAAACCCCATTTTTACCCCATAAAACCCCCCATAAACCCCCGATCCCATAGTCCGATCGTGCTGGTTTGCGAACTCATTCAAGTTTATCATGCTTTACACCTTTATACCAAATTTCATCAAAATCGGACAAAAATTACTCAAGTTATCGCGTTCACGGACACACACACATATATATAAATCTACTAGCAGTCATACCCGTCCTTCGTACGGGGTTGGCATATAAGTATAAAATGATTATTCCAGTTATACTCAAGCTTTGCGTTTGCAATGGGGGAAGACACAGTTTGATCAAATTTGCTTCTTTAAATTTACAGTATACTATAGTAAGACACATCTACAATAGTCATAACGTTCTACCACTTCACCTAAACAATAGAGAAAAACAAATTTAAAAAATTTGCTAAATATCACAAATTATTCATGAAATAGAAAAATAAACATAACTGTAAACAATCCTACTTTGACAGTTCTCATTGCTTATCACAGATTTTGCTGCTGCTCAGTTCAAATTAGCTGTTTTCATAAATGAAAAAAAAAATAATAGTGCTGCACTCTGTTGGTAAATCTTATAACTTTTAATGCTTTTGCAAATCATAGAACCAACTTTTTCAGTTGAAACAGCTGACTAAATTCTTCAATTTCCTTTAAATATGAATACTCATAAGGTTAACATGGGGAACTTCAGAGCCACTGGGACGGAGCCCGAAAGGATTTTTGAGATAAGAATATGCCTATATGTTAATCGGGAATGTGAGCTATCATCATGCCAAATTTCAGCCCAATCCGTCCAGTAGTTAATTCGTGATTGAACTTCAAACAAACAAACAAACAAACAAACAAATAAACAAACAAACACACAAACTTTCACATTTATAATATTAGTAAGATTTTTAACACAATATATACAATGGATATATTATATTATATAAGTTAGTGCTCCAAAACCTGTTTTCTATCCATATTAATGTAAAACAACAGCAAGCTAATCGATTACATGAATTTATTTGAAAAAGAATTCTGAAAAAAACAATTTAGAAAATAATTTTTATATTATTTTGAGAATATCTTTAAAACTAATGCATATACATAAGAAATGGATATAACCATTCTTGTAGAGAATTTTATCTTTCTTTTAGCGAATTTCCCTATAGGGAAGTAGCTATTACCGTAGGTGGCACGGTAAGACCTAGACCCGGGACCGATTTACTTTTTCATTTTGATGTCCCCAGAGGCCAAAAACACTATTCGTTCAAATTTTTATATATGTATATATATATATATAGAGACTTATATATATATATATATATATATATACGTCCGTGAACGCAATAACTTGAGTAATTTTTGTCCGATTTTGATGAAATTTGGTTTAAAGGTGTAAAGCGGAATAAACTTGAATGAGTTCGCGAACCAGCACGATCGGACCATGGGAACGGGGCTTTACGGGGGGTTTTATGGGGTAAAAATTGGTTTTTCTCACTTTTGACCCTCAAAACACAAAATTTCCCAATTTCTCTTTAGACCTTTTTAAAGAGCTTAAAAAAACAAATAATTTAGTATATAAAAGTATTTTTGTTCGATTATTAGTAACGGAGAAAATTAAAAAAATTGTAAATTTAAAATTCCCATGTTATTCTTATGGAGAATATTGTCAAATGTTGTAGTTTGCTTGTTTATGAATATATTTTGATCAAACTTGGCAAATTTATTTATTTTGTACTAAGCTATCAATATTTTACTCAAAAACACACTTTATTAGTTTCCTTGTAGCCGCAAACCTAGGTACTCGTTAAACCTAATGTTATTAAAATATATTTAACTGAAAATCAATTCAGACAAATGGAAATTCGCTTAGTCGGCAGGTTTGCTGCGGCGGGGGTATTTTATAACTTCTTGATCAGCATTGTACGTGTTATTAAATTTACGGAAAGTAAATAAAAGAAACGTCTTATAACACTTAAAACATATACTGTATTTACGCTTATACTGTTACTCAAAAGACGGTAAATATACAAAAAAGATGGTAAGTGCTTCCGGTAGCCAATAGGGTATAAGTAGGGACGCCATTCAAGATTCTTGTCATTCGCTTATTGGGTCTGATGATGATTGGAGTGTCCAATCGAAATTGATCACCACTTATCATCTTTTAGCGAATTTCCCATATAAAGAATAAGCTATTACCGTAATACTCATGGTAAGACCTGGACGTGGGACCGATTTTTTTTTCGTTTTGAGGTCCCTAGAGGCCAAAAACACCATCCGTTCAAATTCATATATATATATATATATATATATATATATTTATATATTTATATATGTGTCCGTTAGCACGATAACTCGAGCAAAAATGATTCGATTGTGATGAAATTTGGTACAAACGTGTAAACCTTCGTTTGTTCGAACGAGTTCGCGATCCAGC